TCTTTCTCTCTCCCTTTCTCTCCCTCTCCTCTAGGCTCTCTCAAGTCAAGATAGCAGCAAAAGATGATTTCTTATGTAGAACAAGAGCTCTAAAGTAGAAGAGTTTCATAATAGCTCTTAATTTATACAAACTGAATTTACGCCTAGGATGATATAAAAATTGTCCTGGATGATCAGCATAAATTTCTCTCAATCAGCCCAGACAGTTTAGGGCGATCAAAAGGTTTTTGTTCATAACATCTAGGATGATAATTTATCATCTTATACAGTTAGTATAAATTGTTAAATATTGTCTACACAATCCCATTGAAAGGATGTTTGGATGACAGAAAAATAGCTTGATCGTCCAGGCTGATCTCACAATTATCCAAAATGATTACTTCAAATTGTTGAAGATCATCCAGACCATCACCCTAAATTGAAAGTGTCCGATGTTGATCGTCCAGGAATAACTAAGGTTTTTTTAAACTGATCATCCCAGCTGATCCTACGATTGTCCAAGATGATTTGATCGAGCAATCAAACCTTAATTACTTTCTTTAATAATTGAATTAATTTAGGCATAATTTTGTTTCATCATCCAGGATGATGTCCAAAAATAAATAATACCTAAATAGATCTGGCAGCTGATTCTTTCTGATTTGAGACTATCATCCCTGCTAATAAGAATATCATCCAGGATAATGCGCTGAATGATTGCTGCCTTAACCAAGATGCCCTAATTAGGGTTTTTATTTTTTACATATCGTCCAAGACAATTTGTGGATCATCTTGGATGATGTGACCAAAAATAGAGAACCATATCATTTACAATAGACTTAAGAAAGGGAAAAGTTTAAAAATTGACTTAAACCTAGTCTACCCAATCTTGAGCTGGTTCAAATTGCATTTTGATCTTGTTGACCTGAAATGTTAGTAGGCAAGGCAGTCATAAAGAAATAGAAGTATTTTCTATAATCAAAATTATACTCCCTGAAAGCATATTTATAATAATAGATCTTGATTTCCTTTCCTTTACCTTCAACCTCAATAATAATATGAACAGGTGGCAGACTTCATTAATCTTCAAAGGTTTCGATTTGAAACATTTTCCTGATTAGAATCATGTACGATCAAAAAATTACTTCAAAGGTCACTCGATTGCTTCCAATTATAGTGATCCTTTAGTGGATACGAAGATTTGGACAACCGATCACCAGCTAGTGATTATCGGTGATCCTCCATCGCTATTGAGAAATTCAAAATTCTGGACTTTATCTCCCTAAAATTCTGGAGATTCAAATATTGCAAATTTTCAAAGGCCAATATTTTGTTTGGTAGCCACTTATAAAATTACAAAAATAAAGATGGACTTATGTTGGAAATTCATTAGAAACCATATAAAGGCTTTGATGAGCTCCAATTACTAAGGTTTGAACTTTAGGTCATCATTAACTTGTAGTTCATTTGATTTATTACTTAGCAAACCCTAAATTTATATTTATATAAATGACCTAGGAATTCATTAAATCATAAAAAAATTGCATTTAATCATAAATAAGCAAAATAGTCAAGGTAAAATAGAAGGCCCATCATAAAGTGTCAAAATATAAATTAAGTAAAAAATAAAAAGAATAGTAAAATAAATAAAAATAATAATTAAAAATAAAAAATTTCCAAATGGTTTTAAACTATTGTAATTATGATTTAAAGTTAATCATGACCCTTTTTGAAATTGATTAATGTTGGTTTGATTAAAATATCAAAATTACGATAATTAGCTTAATTAAATAAATAATTAATTAGGTTAATTTTCAATAGATCATAAATTAATAAATAAAAATCATAAAATTAAAAATTTATTTGTAATTGAATATAAATAAAATACAAGCAGAGAGAGAAAGATCTGTTTTTCAAAATTTTCATTCCCGTTTTTTCCTTCTTTGATTCGACTAGGTTGTAGGACATTGAGGCGGATAGCCACCAGCCATCATTGCCTTCGAATGTGAAAGCATCATCTGTAGGCGGAATGTCTATGTTGAATAAGACTGAGCAAGGATGTCTGGTGACTGGAGTTGATTGTGAAGCTAAGGATGCTGGCAAATGAAGATCTAAAAGTGAACTCATCATTACAAAAAATGTTGATTTTCATACTGAGAAGGTTAAGCATGTTGAAGGCAAGGGTAAAGATGTTCCTTTGAATATTGATTGCAAGACTCCATGTATTTTGAAATCGACTGGCTTTTCTCTCCCAAAATCATTTGATCATGAGGCTTCGTCATCTAGTATGAAAAATTTTGTTAATAGATTTTTGAATTCAAATGCAATCCCTATTATTGACAGTGCGATAAATGCAAATTCCTTGAATTTGGTTTAAAAAGTTGTCATAATAGTATTAAGGAAGCAGTGGTTCCTTCAGAGAAAGCTGTTGTGAGCAGTGATTACAATGCAGTTCAGGTGATTGAGAATATGTCTGAGAACAGAGAAGAAGCTAGCAGGTTGGCCAAACCTTGGAACAAAAAAAGCTGTATATCAAGTTAAATTTCAATAGGGAGAATGTTGTTCTAACTGAGGATGGAAAAGCTATAAAATTGATTGAATCTTCTGAATTTATGAATGCTAAAAGGCTAGAATCTTCATTGGTTGCAAAGGTATTTGGTAGAGAAATACCATCTCATTTAGTTGCTTGGGAGTTGAGATGACAACAGGCTCTTTTTGGTCAATTTATTTTTTCAACCTTAGGAATGGGTTGGTATTTGTGTTCGTTCAAGACATTGGATGCAATGGAATGAGTTCTGTCAGGTGGCCCATGGTTTGTAAATGGTCAAATTGTGGGAATGGAAAGTTGGTCAACTGAATTTTTTTCTAGCTCAATGAAAGGACTTACTTCACCTACATGGATCAGAATGCCACAATTGCCTTTATAATGTTGGGATGAAAACAACGTGGCTATGATTGCTTCTAGGGTGGGTGTTCCATTGATATTGGATGGGAACATGTTTCAATGGGGTAGGAGGGAGTTTGCAAGGGTTTGTGTTCGTGTGGAGCTAGACAAACCTCTTCCCATGGGTGTTTGGGTGGAAGGGATGGCTGGAATATTTTTTCAAAAGGTTGAATATGAGAGGATCTTATCTTTTTGTTATGAATGTGGTATGATTGGCCATGATAAAAGTAATTGTAATAAAAGGCAAGTGTGGTGGTGAAAAATAATGTGGAGGCTACAAACAATCAAGTTCAAGGCAACCGTTATAAGATAGCACATGAGATGGAGGTTAAAGACACTTATTGACCTTGGGTCCATGTTAATTACAAAAGGAACAAGAGAGTTAACAAAGAAGTGACTAAGGTGAGACCGATACAGAAGAGATTTGATATGAAATATCATAGCAAACTAGATGTTGTTCAAATTGAACCATCTGATTTGTTGAACAAAGAGAATAAGGCTGCTGTAAACATTGAAGTAGAGAAGATCATTGAAGACAAATTTCTGGTAGAAGAAGGGGAAATTACATTAGGTGGAGAAATTTGTACTGAAAATTCAGCAATACAGTTGGAATGCAACAACCTGTCTGGTAGTTTGGTCGAAGAATTTTGTGATGCCAAGGTATTAAAATCAACTCCAACTTCTTCTACTATTAGTATGGCCAATAAATTTTAAACGTTAAGTGAAAATGTGGAGGAGGAACTATGTCTTGAGGTAGTTAGTAACAAATCTTTTTTTTTTTTTAAGAAATGCAAATTGCCTTAAAAAAGAAACAACTATTACAAACTAGAAAGCAAAGACAAGCCCTTTAAAATTATCATAATGGAGATGCGATCTACTAAATTTCATTTTAAATCCAATTGGGTGATGGGGACACCAAATATTAAAACAACCTAAAAGGTTAGTTAGTATCCCAGAGTTCCTAATAGATGAAAAATGAAACCTAGTAAAAATTGAACATTTAATTACAATAATTTCAAGAAGGACATAAAACCCTACAAGAAAATCATAAAAACAACAAACTACAAAAAGTAATTGAGCAACTAAAAAAGCTGTCAAAACACCAAAATGACCATCTTCAACATCCCTAGAAGCCTTATTTTTTCACAAATCTCTTAGGATATTGCTAAGGAGGTGAAGAGTATTGTGGATGACTTTTGTAATTGGACTTGGCAAAGGGTCAATACTAATAAATCTCAAATTATTTTCGGAAACATTGTTAGTAATCATATGAGAAAGAAGGTTACTAAAGTTTTGAGCTTCAAAGTAGTCAAGGAGATGAGCTATCTTGGGATAAAGTTATCTCTTAATCAGTTGAGGGTAGCATATCTTCATGATATCTTAACTAATATGATGGATAGACTCAATACTTGGGGGAAGAAATTTCTTTCTTTGGGTTGTAAGGTTACTCTTATCACTAGCTCTCTTTTGACCATGCGTAACTTTTTAATAACACACTCTATGATCCCTAAGAAGGTGTTGCTTACTATGGAAAAACTTTGTAGAAATTTTATTTGGGATAAACATGATGGTAGTCATGATATTCACTACATTGCTTGGGATGATCTTTGCAAACCAAAAAGTATGGGAGGTTTGGGATTACAATCTCCAATGCTGAAGGCTGGACCTTTAAGAGCAAATCTGTCATGGAATTTTCTTCAAAAACCTGATACAATTTTTCATAGAACTATGAGAGCTAAGTATGGGAAGAGTATCTTGAATGGTACTCATAATAAGGTTACTTCTAAAGCTTGGAAGATCTTATTAGATGGTGGGAAATTTCTTAAAAACATTAAAAGATGGAATGTTGGTAATGGAAAAGAGATCAATGTGCTGAATGATATATGGATCCTTGACAGATGTATTAACCAGTGGCCAACTTTTGCTGATTGTGCTGCCTTGGAGGGACTGTGTGTTCAGCAGTTAATGTTGGAGAATGGCCATTTGAATACTGATTTGCTTCAGGAGAAGTTTCATCGGAACTTGTTAAGATGTTCAGCAGTATCCAGGTTGATTCAACAGAGATGACTTGCTGGAAATGCAGAAGTTCTATCCCGGTAGAACAGTTTCTGGATTGGCTTTTGAACAAGTATTAAGAAGAAGATTCAGTTTAATTGATGATGACTATTATAGTTGGCTGAATAAACTCAAGTTAAGAAAGAAGGTGGAGATGTTTTGGTGGAGACTTGGGAATTCATCTATTCCTACCAACCTATATCTTAAGAACCGTAAGCTCCTGGATAATGATTCTTGTGCTAGAGGTTGTGTACTGGTGGAGAACTATGAACATATCATTGTTCAATGCAAGTATTTCATTGAAATCATCAATCAGCTTGTTGGTTGGGGTATTTCTATTCCAATTTTTCATTCCTTGGATCATTGTCTCAAGGAACTTAAGAAAATTTCAGCAAATAATCTGGGTACTGTACAAATCTATTGTACCATTTTTTTCTTCTCTTGGAAAAATAGGAATGAGATTAAGCATGGAAAAACTACACTTCCTTCTTATGTTGTTGCTTCTAATGTATTATCAGTGACCATTAACAAGACTAGTCCGTCTCTTTCTAACTGGAGCACTAACCTCCTTAGGCAGTCTCATGTTTCTTGGTGCCCCCCACCGAAAGAAGGGATGAAAATCAATATTGATGCTTCCTTAACTACTTCGGGCTTAGCTGGAATTGGTGGTGTGTTCCGGGACTGCAACGGTAGGTTCATACTTGCATTTTGGGAGAAGATGATGCATTGGGATATAGCACAGTTGGAGATGGGAGCAATTCTCTCGGTCAAGGACTATGTCAAAAGCTGGATGAGGGACTATAAAGGTGTGATTGTGGAAAGTGATAACATTAATGTTATCAACTACATTCAAAACTCCTTGGAGCAGAACAAAGGGATTATGAAATTCAATTTGGTACGAGATTCTTTATTTGTGAATGATTTCAATAAAGTTGTCTTTCTACATGCTTATAGGAAATGTAATAAGGTAGCCAACTTGTGTGCTACTATGGCTTTAGAGAATAGTTTTTATTTTGATAGCTTTTCTTTTGATGATATCCCTCCCTTGATGGCTAGTTTGATCAAGGAAGAGTATCATCCTTTTGATGTTTATAATTAGTTCTTTTCATTTTTCTCCTTAATGAAAATTGAATTTCTTCAAAAAAAAAAAAACATCCCTAGAAGCCAACGCACTCCAATCAAGCGATGAATCCGTTGAAACTTCAAAGCTTCAAATAACAATCACCATGGATGAACAAAGCAAAGTCGATGAGGCAATAACGCCGACACCCAACTCAAGATGCCAATAATCGCCTCAGACTTTCCAAAGCCATATGAACTGATAATCATCACCTCCCTCATCACACTGACATGAGACAAACAAATAAACTTCAAATCCTTCAAGTCTTAAATCAATAAGAATTGAACTTCAAAGAACAGCTGAGAATCAAGAGACAAAACAAAAGTCTCCATTCCCTTCCAGCCTTCAGCAATCACACCAAGATCTTCAAAGATCGAATCAATAGAATACATTGACTTAGTTAGGATGAGATCCCACCTAAGTACATCACCTATGCGTCCAACAACAAACATCTTAGAAGAACCAAACAAAGCAGATAAATCCATAACAATAGCTCCATCCTTAAGAGGCCAAGAAATGACCTCAAACCCCATAACCTTCATTAATAAATCTTTAGAACAAAACATTCCACATCTCTGAGAACAAAATTCACACCAAAATTTCTTGAACAACCAACAATTCCACTTCAAGAATCTTTCATTTTCCAACAGAAAATCATAATTCTTTTCTGCTCCAATCACCACTTCCCGATATCCTTGAAAACCAACCAAATTCAAACAGAAATCACCAAAGGTAAATTCAGGAATAATTCCAGCAATACATCCCAACCACAGGCAAAATTTTGTCAAAAATTCCACCATCAGAAACAAAGGAAAAATCAGCCCCTGAGTGGAAGACTTATTCCAAGAAAACTAAAAGGCAATGTCGAGCAAACAACAATCTCCTTTAAAATCTCCTCCAAACTTGAAATACTACCAAAATCAATCAATAATCTAATGACAAAAGAGTAAAAACCACAAACAGGAACAATGGCTAAATCAGTCTGACGAAGAAACAACATCTCCGCCCAAATCCACTTCAAATGGATAGCTTCTATACCAAAACACCACGAAGGACTTCCGTCGGCCATACCAGGCCGACGGAGAACTACCGAATGCCTACGTTTGGTCAAAATCGCCAAGAACTCAAAAATTGCTCTTCGCTCTTCACCGCTCCTCCTATTCTTCATTCCATCAAAATCGACAAAGAAACACCACCAAGGATCTCTGTCGGTTATACCTAGTCGACGGAGAACCACTGATCACCTTTGTTCCGTCAAAATTGCCAAGAATGTTCTCTCTGCTCCAAGGAATTTTCCAATTTCAGCTAGTAACAAATCTATGAAGGATACTAAATATGGTGTAGAGAATGAAAATATTATGGAAAGTTATAAGTTATTGGTAAATGGAAGCATATGAGTGATAGAGAAAAAAGAGGTAGGTGGTAATAATGAAGGAGCTAAAGTTAAACTTGCCAAAGAATTGAGATCGCTTGGGCCGGTTAAAAATTTACCTCGTGTTAGGACATTGGATGGGAATGGAAAATTAAGAGCTGGGGGCTCTCCCCCTTTGGTTGATCAATGAATTCTATTGCATTCTAGAATTGTAGAGGGGCTAAGAAGGAGGCCTCTCTCTAATTGAAGGAGTTTTAAAAAGATTATAAAGTGTTTTTTGTTGGTTTGGTAGAGACTAAAATCTCTTCCTTGGATAAAATGGCTTTTCAATAAATGATAGGAATGGATTGGGATTTCTTTTATATTCCTTCATCTTGACTATCAGGTGGCATTATGGTGATGTGGAGATTGGATCTTGCTTCTTTGTAAGTTTTAAAGTATTTAGAGCAATGTGTAGGGAAATGTTCAATGAGGGGACCTGGATGATTCCCACCATTTATGGTACATGGAGGTAGTAAAGAGAAGGGATTTGTGGGATTGCATTCATGAGGTATCTCATAGGAAAGTACCTTCGGTGATTGTAGGAGATTTTAATAATATTTTAGCTCAAGAAGATAAAAGAGGTGGAAGGAAATTTGTCTTTTCTCAAAGCTCCAAAGACATGATTAATTTTATGAATCTCAATGAGTTTCATGAAATATTGGTGGTTGGACCAAGGTTCACTTTGTGCAATAAAAAAAGTGGAGGAGGAAGGATCTTGGAAAGGTTGGATAGGTGCTTGTTGAATTCATATGCTTTGGAGAAGATTCAGGGGGCGGTTGAAAGGCACATTGCTAGGGTAGCATTTGATCATTGCCCTGTTATTTTAAAAAATATTTGATTCAACCGATAGGAAGAAGAATCTTTTGAAATTTGAAGATGTGTGGGTGTTTTTTCATTCTTCTTAATGTATTATCTCCAAAGTTTAGAAAAAGTCTTATGATGGAGATGACATGCAAAATTTAAACAAAGAATGCAAAAGAACATTGAAAGAATTGTTCTTTAGGAGCAAAGCTAAATTGAAGGACTTCTTCTCCTTTAAATAATGCTTAAAAAAATAGGTGCTTCAATTACAAGAATAGGAGGCTATGGATGGTAGATTAGGTGAAGAAAAGTTGAAAATCTTGAGAAATAAAGTGGGTGAACTTGATGTCCACCTTGTAAGGTTGAATACTTGGTGGAGGCAAAGGGCTAAGGTAAAGTGAATGGAAGAAGGGGATTATAACTCTAAATACTTTCATGCCTTTGCTGAAAGTTTGTTAGGGATTTGAAGCCCTTATGAACTAGTCTCAAGGCTAACCAAAAGGGGTGAATCGATATTTTTTAAAAAAACTTCTTTAAGCAATAAAAATATAAACCAAGATTCACCACAGAAATCAAAGTGCGGAAATTAAATACGAAAATAATAAAGGAAAGAACACACCAGATTTATAGTGGTTCGGTCAAACCTTAACCTACGTCCACTCCTCGAAGGCACCCTTTGAGTATTGCACTAAACTCAGTGTCTCTCCTTTAGCCCTCATAGCTAGGCGGAGAAGCCCTTACAAAATCACTTCCACCTTTCCCATTGTGGTAGAGTAGCCGGGTCCTTTGACACTAAAGAGATCTTTTTCTTCCCAAAACTCCCCTCAAGACAAGCCTTGAATCCGATGGTACTAAGGTGCAAGCTCGCCGCAGCAACCGTGTGGAATCCCCCTCCACACTCCCATGAAACCCCCTCCATGGATCTTTTCCCTCTCTCAAACTATACCCTTTCCTCTCTCCCTTTCAAGCTCTCTCTTCAAGTTTCCTCCAAAAGAACGAAGCTACAATGGATGCCAAAGACACATACTAAGTGCCTTATCAAAACTTAAATAGAAGAGTTCAAAATGAGCTCATTGATTGCAACTTGCAAACTTTATCGTCCAAACCAATATGTAAATCATCCTGGCCGATCAGTGTAAATTAAGCCCAATTAGAAAGGATGATTTGGGACGATTAGAAGAAATTTGTTCATATCGTCCAGGATGATAATATTATCATGGCTAATCAGTACAAATCATGAAATATCGTCATGAACATCACCCTGAATAAGAGCTGTCCAATTTCCAATCATGCAATGGATCGTCCCGACTGATCTTGCGATCGTTCGGGATGATGAGATCGTGTAATTAAATCATAATTACTTTCCTTAAATACTAAATTAATTTAGGAAAAGTTATGCTGGATCAGCCAGGCCGATGCCTGGGACGAAGTCCAAAAATAAGTAATACTTAAATAGATATTCCGGTTGATTCTTTCTGATTTGAGTCTATCATCCTGGCCGATACAAAATCATCGAGGATGATGTGCTTAATGAAGGTTGCCTTAATAAGGATGCCCTGATTAGGGTTTATGTTTTTGAACCGATTGTCAAGGCAGATATAAATATCATTCCGAACGATGTTACCAAAAATAATAAACTCTAAGAACCAGTAAGAAATTCTTCAAAAGTGTGTGTGTAAGGTTACTTAGCATCAGGAGCCACACCAATTATAATAGACTTAAGAAAGGGAAAAAATACAAACTGACTCAAATTTAAATCTACCCAATCTTGAGCTGGCTTGAGTTGCACTCTATCTTATGGACCTGAAAAATTAAGTAGACAAGGCAGTCATAGAAAATCTTGAATATTTTCTATCATCAAAATTCTAGTCCATGAAAACATATCCACAACAGTCTCTCCCTTTTTTATGATGGAAAAAATTTCTTGTTGAATTTATAAAAATAAAAAGATTTTCTCCTAATCTCCCCCTTACTAAAATAAAACTAAAAAAAATAAGGGAAATCAAAAAATTTTTGTTGCTTAAAAAAGATAAAGATATAAATAAAATAATACGTTCTCCCCCTTTAACATTATCAGAAAGAGAAGAGGCACAAAAAAGTCTTAAAAAAATGAGAAAGTTACCTCTTGATTTTATTCAAAAACTAAGGAATGGATTGACAACGCATACTCTAGAAAAGGTAAGAAATTCAGAAATTATTAGACCAAGCTCAAGTTCTTTTAAAGGTTAAGAAACGTTTTAATCCAATATCTAAATCAAAGAATAAATTAGAATAAGAAACACTAATTTTTCAAAAGTCCTTTCATAAAATATATCTAATAGAGGATTAATGGAAAAATTGGTGAATCAGGAATCATAATTTTCAAGCTCAAGTACTGAAACTATCAAGGGTTTTCTTAAGCTTTAAGTAAACACAAAAAAAGCAAGCATACTCTTTATGGGCTCATTTTATATCTCTTGTCAATTTTTTTGGCACACTGTGCATATTTTACTTTTTGGTACACTTTATGTATCTTTCTCAATTTGGCGTCATTGCGCATCTTTTGATTTGGCATCATTGACCACTTTTTTTTTGATTTGGCATCATTGGCCTTTTTTTTTTAACTATGCTACTTTTATGAACTTTTAAAAACAAAAGTAAACCCATTCTATTGACACAATGAACTACTTGATTAAGAAAATTATGTGGTATATTCAATAACTTACAAAAAATTCCTATGCAATAGATAAAATGTAGAAAAATTAAAATGTTTAGTTTCAAAATC